ACACAACCCAGTACAGCCTGGGAAGCCCAGGGTTTGCAAGCTGTGGAGCAGGATGTGGCTGCACTGAGGGACTGAAGGACCCTGCCACGCCCCAGGTTTGGGGTGGGGGTGTGGTGGAGGAGTCACTCCAGGCTTTATCAGAAAAACCATCCTCCATGCACACACAAGATTCAGCTTACCGTTCATCAAGCCTGGGCTTTCATCTGTGTAAAGAAGCAGCTGCCTAACTCGGCCTCCAGAAACTGAGCCCTGATTTCAGGCGAGGCCCTTCTAAATAGCCCACTCTGGGTGGAGGACCTTGGGCTTCACACTTGAAGTCCTTTGATATGCAACACTGAAATCATGTACAAAGTGTATTTTCAAGCATTACTAACCACTCCTAAAACAGTCTTTGTTTTTTAGACTCTTCCTTCCTTTCTTCACCCTCTGCTGTTTTTCTCTTAGCTTCTAGTGGAGCCAAAGGTAACAGAGGGAGACTTGCTGGTTCTCCACCAATATAAACCACCACCAACTTAGGAGGCGCTGCCATCTCATTTATGCACGATGCAGAGCCAGCAGGGGGAGCTCATCCCCCTAATTATTCTTCCATTAGTTCCTTCCAGCCTTGGGCTGCAAAAACAGGCTACTCATCAGATACAAATGGACAGTCTAGGCTTTTGGTCACAATCTCAGGATGCAGAGTCAGCTGACCTGGACCTGAATCCCATTTCCAATGTCAGTCGGCTGTCCAATACTGGGCAAGTGCTATTTCATAAGGATTAAATAAAATAACACATAGTGTTGGCAGATAGAAACTGTTTAGTAAGTGTTGGCCATCACCACTACTGGTACTACTACTAGTACTACTACTGCTAGGAAGGAGTAGCAGAGTTGTGAAGAAGTCATTAGTGGTGGCAATGGTGACATGTGGTAAACCAGTGAATTTCAAGAAATGCTTTTATTAAGGCAGTCCTAGACTGAAGTGGAGGCAAATTAGGTTCTCCCCCTGGCTTTATTGCTACCTAAGTGTGCAATCTGCTCCTATGTCTTTTGGGGAGATGGCACAGTCAGGCTAGGGTTCAAAGCTAGTTACAGCCACTGGCTGTAAAACAGCAATTTCTCCAAGTCTCTTATGTATATGAGAATGGAATCACCATTAACAGAGCTGTGGTAAGAATTAAAGAAATCACTTATGAAAAATAGCACTGCACCTGGCTACTTAATTTGTTTGTTTTTGTCAGTACTACCTGTAAGTTCTCTTCTTCTGCTAAAAATATCTTATAACTCCATGATTTCAATGAGCCTAAATCAATAAAAAGTAGGAGGAGGATTGGTATAAAGCCTCAAAAAACAAAACAAAGTATATACCACACACACAAAATGGAGAAATATATGTACATATCTGTATGTAGAAAAAATCTGGAGAATGCAAATGTAAAGTTTAATTTGTTTGGGGCACTTCAATTATTGATCACTTTGTTGGCTTCCAATCAAATCTATATGCTTAATGTTTGACATTAAATTAAGTATAGTACATTCAAATTTGTTAAAATGTACCATTAATTTTAGCTGATTTTAGTTTTCCTATCATTGGAACAAAAATACAGTAAAATTAGTCTGAAAGTCACAAAAAGTCTAAGAGGCAAAAAACCATTTGTATGCTTACAAATTTTTCAGTGTAACCTTATTTCTGAAGTACCATTATACCTACATTGTAACAGTACCTTGTGTTTGCCCAATAAAACACACATTATATAATTTGAGAGGCTGGTGCTTGAGACATTGTCAAATGCTTTAAATGATTTTGTTAATTCTCCCATATTCCAATTAGTCACCACCATTTTTTTCCTCTAGCACAAGAACCATCCTTCAGACCCTCACATTTCCACTAAAATCAAATACATACCCTATTCACAATCTGCCATGTTTGCATTTGTGAACATTCAACTCATTTGTGTTTAACTGCAAAATCAGTGTTCATAAGATAGGAACAGTAGAAGCAACATCGACAATTGAGACTGAGGTTATAGCAAAATCATTTTACAATACCAATACAGCTTTGGCTGGCAATATTTAATAGACATCCCTTAAATCAAAATACAAGCCAGAAACAGCAACATATATATTCAGAGGATATTATATTTTCTGAAATTATACCTTTTTAACATAAAGAGCAAGTACCTTTCAATTGGGAGGAAGGACCACATAGGAACTTGGCATCCCCTGACACACTGTGTATAGGAGGGGTCTTCAAAAAGTTCATGGAAAAATTCATATTATCTTTTAATTCCATTTTTCCACAAACTTTTTGAAGTAACCTCATATATTTGCTTGGGTGGCTCTTGTCTTCTCCACCAGTGTGTGGGCTCCAGGAGAGTAAGAACTTTGCTTCACTTGCTGTTGAATCCCTGAAACAGTGGTTGGCACATAACAAGTGCTCAAAAGGTATTTGTTGATTGAATTCCAATTTCACTCCCAGTCCCAACGCATATCCCCTAAAATATAATTACTTGCTCAAGGGGCCCAAGGGTATCCACTCACAGTAACTAGGCCTTCCATTGACTTCAGGGCCTTTGAAGCCACATGGTGGGGTCTAATCTACATAGCCAAGCTTTTTTACTCAACAGTAGAAGGGAAAATCCAGTTGAACCATTCAGATTCTTATGTATAATCCTGAACATACATGTAATATATATCTCTGGACTACATTCTGGGGACTTAGTGGGCCTTGGCTTTCCTAAAATAGTCAACAATTTCATTTACTGCTTTCTACAGCCAGGTTCATCACCTCTGGAATGTTCTTCTTTCTTAGTCTTTCCCTGCCCAGTCCTCCACGTCTCAGCTTAAGGGTTACTTGCTCAAGGAAGCCTGCCCTGCTCCTCACTCCCTCACTCACAGCATTCAATATTCTTCCTTCCTAGTAGCCACCACGCCTGTCTGTCTCCCCTCACTGGATGCACATAAATGTTTATAGAATGGACTGAATGAATCTATCAGTGATTCAAAATGTTAAGGCCAACAAATACTAAGTACAAAAAGAGGTAATTGGGCATTCTGGGCCCTAATAGGTCCATTACCGGAGAGCACATTAACAATGAGGGAGCTACCACAGTCTTTTATAACCGCCCCTCCCCCCAAAAAAAATTTTTTTTAACTGTGATAAAATATTTCATAGTCTTTTAACCAGGGAAACAAAAATCATCTTGGGGTTTTTGCTTCCTAGTACTTTGGAGCTCTGTTCCTAAAAAAACGGTCACACACAAAGAGAGATTTGCTCACAGAGGAGATATTCAGACTGAGCAGACAATTCAAGAGAACATCACGACTGGGAGGTGGTGTTTCACAGCAGTGAAAAGGGTATAGTAAAATAGAAGACTTAGGCTCCTGGTTCCTCATTTAATATGTCTGGGTCGCAGTTTCTTCATCTGTAAAATGGGGAAAGCAGAACCAATCTCATGGGGCACAACGAGGACATCATAAAATAATCAATGACAATGTACTCTGTGAACAATGAGGTTTTATATCAACATGAGCTTCGGAAAGCAGAATCTTTATCTGGGCTAAAGCCCAGCCTTCAACCATACAACCACGTACACTTCCCAAGAAGAACAGGAGCAGTGAATCATGAAGGTAATCTTTTTGTTTAATGACCCCTCCCCCGAGTATATGGATTTTAACCCGTCACCATTCCCCTTGTGGTAAAAGCACTCAGCTACTCGAGAACAATGATCCAACTGGCCTTCCTTCCTGGTCTCAATAGCTTCATTTTCCTGTATCTGCCCTGATGAGCCCAATCACCTACTTTACATCTTTTCCATCATTTTTTCCCAAATTTTGAAGCAGCTCTATTTTTCCGCTAGCTCCCAGAGTTCACAATTCGTGGACAGGGACATCTCTCCACTCTGGTGATGGCTGGTTAGACCCCTGTGCCTGTGACACCCATACCTCCGCACCCGTGGGAGGCTTTCCACAGAGCTAAAGTACAAACACTCCCAGGAGAGTTCACCCTCCAATTGCTCAGTATCTCAGTTATTTACAACAGACTGTGAACGCATTCACGACACTTTTTCCTCACAAGGGAATGACAGCCAAGCAGGAAACGCACAGGGAGCTTGGGACCTATGTGCTTCTAGCCCCTGAGATGGGTGGGATGGGGCAAGACAGAGCGTGTGAAAAGGAGTTGGTGAGAATCCCAAAGACAAGCTCATGATTTCTTCAGTTTTTGTTTTGGGCTCACCCACACACAGATGCAATGCTCACGCTCACAGCCAAGAAGTGGGTGTGAATAAGGGTGCTGGGCTTGCTGGGTGGGAAAGAAGAGAGGACCACATATGTATGGGAAATGGTGGGCCTGGCTGAGAAACAATGGGACAATGGGTACAGATGGGTGGGGGAGGCGGAAAAGAAGAAAATGACAGATAAGTGTACAGATGCCAATGGTACTGGTATTTCTGATATGATAATGCATCTCATTCCACGTTAAATTATTGAAGTACCACTTTGTTCTTCTCCTTAGGAGGATAACTTGCCATCTTGAGAATACACAGACTTGGAAAGGCACAACAGAGTAATGGCTAAATGTTTAGGCTTTAATTTTAAAGACGAGCTTGAATCTCTAATCCATCAGATATTAACTGTGTGACTTTGGAGAAGTTACTTAACCTCTCTGTTTCCTCGTCTATCAGACAATACCTACCTATAGAGTTCTTGTGAGGAGAAAAAGTGACCATATATCTAAATGATTCTGCACAACACCAGCCACATGGCAAGGCTCAATAAACGTTCTCTGTTGTTAAATTTTACCAAACACAAGAGCCGATCAAGGGCTCTTCCTCCTGTTTGAGCATTCCCTGGAACTTGAGCTCAGAGTAGTAATACCCTTTTACTTGACAGAAAGGCTGCTTGGCTATCCTTTCCCAGGTCGGTTTTCACACAGGAAAAAAGAATGACAGAGCAGCAAGAAGGGGAACAGGAATGGGAAGCCAGTCCTGGGTTCAAGACACACCTCTGAGCACACTCACCGAGTCTGGGTCTCGCTGCTGTTCAAGAAAAGCTGAAAATTCCACCAGGCGAAGCTTGGTTGTGCCAATGGAGCGGCCTTGCCAGGCAGGGACCGAGGGAGCTGGGGCTGATGCAGGCTCAAACCCTGAAAGACAAATCGTCACCTTTAAACCTGGCCCCATACCAGGCAGGGCTCTACAAAACAGATGACCTAGAGAGAAGGGCCACCAGCTTTTCCCCACCAGCAGTTATGGGTGGAACTGAGTCAGGCAGGGGTGGGATTCTGGCTGAGGATCCCTGAGATAGTAACCAGCCAGACAGGCACAATGCATGTGCTCCTCACAAAGCCAGCTTCAGCTATCGTTAAGGGCCGTGGCACCAGGACATCTCATCCTGGACAAAGGGCCCTGGCTGGGGACTAAGCCAGGAACAATGCAAGAGACAGGAGTGAATGCTCCCAAAGACCCTGATGTGTCGAGAACTTCTAGTGTCTGTCCATCTCCTTTCTTAAGACTGTGGTCACCAGCACTGTGGAATATTCTCTCTCAGTGCTCCATGGCACTGGAGCAGAGGGCAACATGTGAGTGCACTTTCTGTTCAGGGCATCTATAATGGAGAGCAATGATTTTTATACTGTACCTTGAGCAGTTTGACTGAGTAACTCTATGTGCATAGGTGTGGGTACGTTTAGTGGGGAGGGGGACAGGTGGCTGGCCAGATTTGTGTTTTCTACTTTGGACTTCCATGGAAGCTCTCCTTTAATGATTGCATTCTGGGAACTGACATCTACCCATATAAGAAAGGGTGAATAAAACCACGTCTGCCCTCAAGACTTGGACTGCCCAGTGTGGCCAGTTTATGATGAGGAAGGAGCAGAATGACTTCCTGGATGATCCAGTGCCTCAAGTGAAAGTGATGGCTTCCCATTTCTTTCACCCATGTGCAGAGCTCTTGGGAGGTAACTGAAGGGAATCAGGACCTGGTAGGGAACTCCCGTGTGGCCCTCCTGAGCTCCAGTCTAACCCCCGCCTTAAAGCAGGTAGGGGTGTGGAGGGGCGTCCACAATTCTTCAAGTAAGGAGATACATGTGGCTGTGGCAAAGATGAGCATCTCTCCACCCTGGGAAAAGAGAGACAGGTTAGCCTGTGTGGGGCAAATTCCCAAGGAGACTCACCTGGAATGGGGGCTGTGACCGCTGGTTGGATGGGATAGGCCTGCTGCACGAAGGGCTTGACACTGGGGACAAAAGGGTGGACAGTCAGAAACCATATCTGCAACAGCAGCTGCTACCCATGCTGGTCTTGGCCTCCCAGTGGGAGATCCCCCAACAGTGCACATTCCCTGCCTGCAGGTAGAAGTGCATCCCAGGCACAGCTCTGCCAAGACAGAGGTGGTTGCTCTCCCGAGCTGAGAGGGGCCAGCAGGGTTCTAGGGACCAAACCACCAAGCCTCCTGCCAGGTCAGAGGGACCAGCCAGACAGACATCAGCCTGACTTCCATGTGCTGTGACATCTGTTTTTGAATCTCTCTTTTCATCCCTGAAGAGACTGAGGTCAGAGGTCAGCAATCACCATTTCCAGGCAAGATTTGGGACATGCTTTAGGTCCTCCTTTTCTAGTCCAAATAGTTGAAACTCTTTTGACAATATGTAGGCAGGATGTCCTTTCTGCTTTTATACCCAAACTGCACTAATCTTCTGGTTTCTGACCTTGCCTCCCCATCCCCACAGCATTAGTAGGATTTCCTATTAGCTACCCCTACCGCAGAGATAAAGAGAGCAGAAGAGGGACATCTCAACCCAGAAGACCATTGGCACGTAATTCCATGTGTTAAGGGACTAAGGATTCCCTCTCTTCTTCCTTGCTTCCTCTCTATCTTCTCTTCCCTTGTTTTTTTCTCTTTCTTCCTCTCCTCCTCCACACTACCACAGGGAAAGCCAAGTGCTATAGGATTACCTCCACTGCCCTCTCAGGCAAGGAAGACCCCCGGCTCTGACCCCCAAAGCCATAAAGGGACAAGAATCCACTTCCTGTTTCCAAATGGATGACTGCGACTACATATGGTGGGAGTGAGTGCTTACATCTCTACCAGATCTGAGAGGCCAGTCTTTTTCCTGCCGCTGGCCTCAGCAGACAACAAGGGGAGATGACTTCAGAGATCTCACTTAACCCTTCTTTCCCCTGTAAGCACTGAGACAGCCTGGTCCTGGCAAAAGTCCCCTGGGGTGAGCTGTGACCAGCCCCTTGTTGTCAGAGCGGGCCCCTCCTCAGACTTACTCTTGTGAGGATCCTGGCTGCCCTGTTTGTATCATTCCCGGCCAGAACTGGAAGGCAAAATGCAAAGGCTTCAAGATTGCGAGTTCATGTCAAACCACAGCTCAGGGTCTACACACTGCAACCCTGATAAAGGACAGCAGGTCCCGATCCAACACCAATTGCAGAACCACCTTCCCCAAGTACAAGATTACAACCTATACCCCCGGCCTGGCAACCCTTAGCTCTTCCTTCCTGGAAATCCCCCTGCGGGTAGGGAACAGGCAGCAGCTCCTTAGTGTTCTCGTCACACCCAGTGGAAAGGTGGGCACACTGCAGGAGGTTCACAAATACTTTGACTGCTTTATCTGTGCACCCACCTATCCTCCCCTTCGTCCCCAATTCTGAAGCACGCCCTCCCTCCACAGCTCATGGCACCAAAGGCCCAGCGGGGCAGAGGACAAGGCTCAAAGCAAGAGGGAGCAATGCAGGCAGCTTCTTTGCTGTGAGCTTCCCCAAGGCATTTGGGGCCTGCCGCTGGAGTCACACAGCCCCAGGTGTGAATCCTGACATCACCATCCATTTGACTGTGATCAAGTTACCCAAACTCTTGTTTTGCTACTATGTACCCTCAGCTTTCTCATGTGTAAAATGGCAATAACAGTAAGAGGCATTTAAGATTACTGTGAGGATTCAAGGAGAATGCAACATAACCCTTCTCAGCTCTTGGTAGATGTCAAAATGAAAATGTTAATATTTTGTCCCTTTAAGGACTAGTTGCCATAAAATGACCTTAAGGACACAGGGATGAGACCAAAGGCCAGGATAAGGATATCCAGAGCAGAAAAGGGACATCACAACCCAGAAGGGCATCGGTACCTAATTCCATGTCTTAAGGGACTAAGGATTCCTTCTTCTCTTCCTTGCCTCCTCTCTACCCTCCCTCCTCTCTTTTACTCTCTCTTTTCTTCCTCTCCTCCTCCTCCCCCTTCCCTCCCTCCCTATCTCTCTCTAGCTCCCTGCCTCCTTTCCCTTCTTTCACCATTTTGTACCCAGCATCAGTTCCCCACAAGATAGTCTTTGCCGTCTCATACACCAGACCCAATTAATAAGAAGTGCCAGGTGGAAGACCTAACGCTGGCCCATGCCAACCCCCCACCCCTAGTGGCCATCATTATGGATCCAGCTCAAGACTTACCCCTGGTGCCCCCGGGAAGGTCGGGCGTGGAATCCCAGGCAGCCCCAGCTTGTTGTGAATGGCAGTGGCTGAGACGATCTGGGCTGACGACATGGCTGCCATGTGCTGCAGGGCCTTGTCCTTGGCAGTCTGATCCTTGAAGGTGACAGGGACGCACCGACTTAATACATGACGCACGGCTACCAGGCAGGTTAAACAAGCACAGCCACGAGCACACGGACTAAAATACGGAGCCACAAAAGAGGCCAAGAAAGCAAACATGCACGGATAAATAAACACAGCCAGAAGGCTAGAACACACTCCACCTGCCGTAACTCTGAACACTGATTAAGAACACCCAATGACAAGGTTTGGGGGTTTATTTTTGTAAAAAAAAAAATTAAATCCAATTTTGAACAGAATGGGAAGCCTCTGAGAAGAGTCAAAATGCACTTTTTTTTCAGCTTCCAGAAGGAGATTTTTCCAATGACTTAACACACTCAAGAAAAGAAAAGAAAAGAAAAAAAAAAAAAAAAGGCCCTGCTTTTAAGCATACAGGTGGGAGGACGGGTAAGAGAATTATAGCTATAAACTGGGGCAGGACCATCCACAGAGCGCAGGGAGCCCTATCTGTGTGTGCACCAGCTGTCACAGGACCACAGTCCCAGAGGCTGCTGGAGCATGTGAGGCCTGGAAGCCCTGGCAGACACCTGGTGGGGGAAGCTCAGAAGCAGCAGGGTGGGTGACGGGGCCAAGCAGCATGCTGGCGAGGCACATGCTTTCTCAACAATCCCCACCTTGGCTCTAAGGCTACATGAGTTCTACTAAAGCCAAAGACAGAGGGGATGCTACAGGTAAGTGGTTTCTCCTTTTCTGAAACAGGTCTTTTCTAGAAAAGCCAAGACTGATAACACAAAGCTAGCCAAAAAAGTCTGCCAAGCACAGCTAAAATACAGAATACTCAGTTTGATGAAAATACTTACCATGCTTGTTACCTGGATACAATAATAAACAATTTGTTAAAAAGGATCGCGTACAGAGGCAGGATTATTTTTCTTCTTCAATTAAAAAATATATACTTATACAAACACACAATACTTGGGAAAATAAAATGTGCAGCAGTGTGAGTTTTTTTCTCCCTCACATTTCAGGAGGAATGTATGATCCAGATAGCTATCTAGGAGGGTAATCATCAAGAAGGGAACCCAACAATAGCAACATTCAAAAACCACCCCAACTCCTTTGTGTGGGTTCTGTGGCTTCCCCAGGATAGGTGGAGAAATGGTCGAACCCCTGTTGTGTGACAGGCCCTGCTGGTACAGGCAGGGTTCATGCTTGGTGAGAGTGTGAAGGCTGCTTGTAGAGGGTCTATACCCCAGGCCTCGCCCCATCAGAGCAGGAACAAAATGGTGACACCAAAATAAAAAGTGCACTCTCCACAGATGCCATTCAGAGTTCAGTGAGTCAAGGTCAAAAAGGAAGCTTCGGGCTAAGACACTGAGTACCAGCTGAGAGGTGCTTTGGTGTTTACAGATGGAAGGGGATGAATAAACATGCTGGGGTGCCAAAGGCAAGGCCAAAAAGAGCTACAACAGAAAACAAAACCCAAAGCCTACAAAACAACTACTACGGCCTTCTAAGAAAGTTTGACTAGGTGCTCCCAAGGTGTAGACCCCAATTTGCCCCATAAATGCCAGGAATACCATGTGAGTTTTCAAAATGCGTACATTAACCTTTGAAAAAGAGAGAGAGAAAAAATAAGAAGAAGAAAGAAAGAAAGAAAAGAAAAAGAGCCAAAAGCTTGCCTAAAGTTTTATACTTTATATATTTCTCAGGGTCTGCAACTGAAAACCTAATGAGCCTCAAGAAGAATTTTTCAGGAATGCACATAGGCATTGTGAGCATCTGTAATGGCACGTGCTATGGCTGAATGACACAGGGAGGGCCCTGGAAGCCTGCAGGACTGCTGGTCCCCAACAGAATGGCCCTGGTGACTCTTACAGTGAGACTTCCCTGCTCTGCTGTCTCTGCATCAGACGGCATTCTGCCAGTTGAGGCTGTACGTGCTAATCTGTCAAATGCTCTAACCTACGGCTAGCTTCCTCTGGTAACTGTTTTTTTTTTTTTTTTTTTTCTTTAAGATCTGATACATTTCAGATACTGAGGATGCCAGAAAAAAAGACAAATCTTGTGGATGGGATGTGACGACAAAATGACAAGCAGCATGCGCATGCCCTAAAGCTGAACTAAGCCTAAAACATACAGATTTCAGTGCCAGTCAATCCACTCTTAGCTGTTCCCGTGGTTTCATCTGCCACCTACCCCATCCATCCCCTCAGAGGGTAATCCATGAACAGAGCATGGCTCTGTCACACCTACTCCATTCACTGTCAAGAATACCCTGGCATCAATGCAAATTTATTGGTTTCTCTTTGGACTGGTCACTTTGGACTCCAGCCCCCAAGCCATTTAACCCCTAACGAGAGGTTATAAATGCTCTCAAGGCAATTTCTGAAACTGAGGTAATGGCATAGGTATTGACCACAGGCAACTTCCTGCAGCCCAGAACAAGCCTAGCAACTTCTCTAGGGCCCAGGCTAGGGGAGCTTGGACATGGCGGCCCCGACTTCTTGCCTGCCTGGCTGACACGGATTCCACGGCACAACTACAAAAGAGCTTGTGGGCTTGGCTCTATTCCAGAAGAACATCATGGAGCCTCTCACAGACCTGACGGTTCTGTGTCGATGAAATGCTGGTGACAGGGGCGAGTCTGCTTGACAAATACAGAACCTGGGTGTGCACACTTGGGTGGGGCAACTCATTAATCAAAAGTCCAGGTCCGAATGGAAATCGGTTCCCTGCATCTCCATAATGTACTTCATGCTATTAAAAGTTGCTTGGAATGTTTCCCTTTACTAGGCTTATTGGAAAGTTCTTCAAAATGTTCACAAAAGTTTGATTTTTTTTTTTCCCTGAAATGGGGAAATCAGTCAATTTGGGAAAGTAGTAAAGTAACTGTCTTTGCTGTTTATGGTCACACAGCCTCAGAACAGAATCTCTGTATTTTGCTAAATAAAGTAAGGTTTGATTCTCTTACTACTCAGCATTCCACCAGATATCTAAATGAAAACAAGAGTTTAAAAGCAGGAGAACACATCATTGTTTTTATCACACCAACTCGCTCTATGATGGTAAAAGGGGTATCTGCTGGGGAGTTGGAAGACCTGGTTCAAAACCTGCCCCTGCTTGACATTAATGGGCTGTTTTACCCTGGGCAAGTTATTTAACACCCTCTAACTTTGTGCAGCTACAAAATAAAGAGTTGCACTTTATTCTCTCATGTCCTTCTGACTCTAAAAGTATTTTTAGCTATGAGGATGAATTTCATTATAAACAAATATGTTTTAATATGTATAGCTAGCTAGCCAAAAAAACCAGGAGTGAGAAGATGACAGGATACTAAAATTTGGGCAGCTCTCGGCTAACTGTTCTAATACAGAGAAATCCAAGTGTGGAAAGGAAATTTTATCTCAAGTACAGGTTCTTTCTGCACTTGACCTACCTATTTGAGAATAGGCAATTTTCTGCAAATGGACTAAAATGTCTATACCAGTGATTTCCTACTTTCTGTAGTGAAGCTACTCTGACTATTCATTTAATTTTATAACAGCTCCCCTTTATCTGCGATATACATCTGAAAATTAAAAGGAGTAAAGTTTTTTGCTTAAAACCTAAAGTAATCCTGGAGATAATAAGCACCACCAAGGACAGTCTGAAATCAGAACTGAGAGCCTGGCTGCAGACCCACTTATCCTGAAATGGGAGTTCGGAAGGATGCCGAGCTGAGAGATTTCAATGGAAGGATCTCTAAACTGTCATTTTCGGCACAGAGATAACATGCCCGGCTTTGAAAAAAATTATAACTCTAAGTGCCAGCCCTAAATAAATTGCTTCTCTGTGACACTCTGGTCTAATATCCTGGACTTTTAAACATTCCACTCTGTCCTAACCACTCATTCCCATGCCAAAAGGGAAGGAGGCTAACTTATCCACATAAATGAAGTTTATGTAAATTTAAAAACATATGCTACATTTGTACACCCTATTAATTTTATTCTAAGATGTTTTCACACCATCATTTCTGAGATGTGGATGAGATTTACAAAGGATGAGCACATTGTTTTATCTTGAAGAACTGTTATTAAGTCGATACTGAGTTATGCTCTATGATGTCTTAGATTATAGGAAATACTCTGAGTGCGTGTATGTGTACACAGGAGCATATGAGAATGAACAACAAAAATGTGTCCTAGAAAAAGGCTTGGACCAGTTCACACGAACTCCGTAATACTGATTTTAAGTCCCTCGACCCCTAAGATTACAAAGAAAGAGGCCACAAAAAGGTGAGTGGGGAAAAAGGCAAATCTCCCTTTTTCCAACTGAACCCTAACCCAAGCCCATGACCTGCAATGTGGGAAATACTTATGGAGCAGGAAAGGTAGTCTCTAGACTGCTAAGGGGGAGGCGGAGGGGTGCTAAGAATGAGAGCAGACCAGCACTCTGACTCAGGTGCATGTCTCACAATCAACCCTACTTTCTTTACTATCCAATTTCTGGCATACCACCCATCGGTGGTCTCACGCCTCTATCCCACACGGTCGAGCAGGCTATGTCACGCATAAACTCCTCAGCCTAAAGCCTCTCAAATTGTTATTGTTACTAAGTAAACAGGCTTTTATATTTCATGAAGCAAAGCAAGGCTGTTGCTACAACTCTCTGTTCTGCTGACTGCCTCCTTTTTATGGCTGAAATGGACACAATGTTTGGAAAATGTCTACATGTAATATACATGACAGGAAGGCAGCAACATCACAAATGCACATGGCTGGAGTGTGCTTTTAAAACCGGAGGACATCTTATGGATCAGTCTCTGCATATTATGGGAGTCTGGTTCCCCTCTGCTTCCCTGACTTTTGATTATTCTGTAAAATCAATGATCTCATCTTCTTAAGGCATTAGCCATGAACAAATTTTAAATATAAAAAATATCATATGCTTGCAATATATTATAGGTGCCACATATGGAATTTTAATAAGCATATTAAATCAATATATTCCAAACAGTTTATTCATGGGCCATCATTTCAGAATTCAAAGGTAAGACTCCAATCTAACATATAGAAGTCCACCAATACATCAGGAAAATATGTAAAGTCAAAAAAAGACTATGGATTCAAAAACTCTTGATAGATCTTAAATGTTTTTCTCCAAATACTTTTCCCAGCAACATAAAAATATAGTGCAAGGAAGAAAAGACAGCAATTTGCTTGCAAAATCACTTTCTCAAAAAAAGACAAACTACAAAATACTTCCCTAAGAAATAATTTTGCAGATGTTGTTTCTAATCTTGCACTATGTGGATTCACATGACCTCTACAATTATTAGCCATAGCCCTTGTGCAGATAAACATCACAAAACTATATGATGGTTCTGGAGAAAGGATGGAGGGCACTTGAATTTTTTTTTTTTAGCCCTGATCTCTAATTTGCTTATTATTAGAGAAGGCAGGAGTAAATACAAAAGGGGGCTATTTCGGTCAGGCAACAGCTAATGCCAAGGAAAGAAGGCACATTCATACTTCTCCTGACTTGCTTCCTAATGAGTAGCAATTAATTCATCTTATTGTATTTCCAAATACCAAAGACTCCATTCACATCCAAGAAAAAATTTTCAAGGCTTTTACCATTGTTCATTTTTAAATGTACTGAGCTATATTTAGTATTTTATAATTGCCAACAGCATTTCCTTTAATTCTGATGGGGACTTAGCATCATAAAGGATTATAGATGAGATGCATAGGTGTGCCTGATTACTCTCTCCCAGGAAGCCTGGGATTCAGGACAGCTTCATGCCAGATCTGGCTATTCGAGAGAAGGTACACTTTCGACCTTTGTCCCTTTTTCTCTGGGAGGCAACAGCAAGGGGCAGGAGGTA